TCTCTCTCTCTCTCTCTCTCTCTCTCTCTCTCTCTCTCTCTCTCAGTCCAGGATGCTAACAATGACATGTTGTGAGAAAGCAACTAGGAAATGCCACATGCTAAACAACCAACAAACATAACTACTCCCAGATCATTGGTTCAAAAGAATGGAAGAAAAGTCAGAGTTGCTCAAGATGAATGGGGAAAGGCCACTTCTGACCTCAAACAGCCTGACATAGTTTGCATATCTCCCTAGGCAAAGACTCTTGAGTTGTCAGTACCTGTATTGATAGCATTCGGACGTGAATCTAAATAGTTTGGAAGGGTAAGCCCAAAAAACATCGCAAAACCTAGGATAAAAAGATTGCGGGAGGAGTTCATGTCCACAAACTGTAGATTGGAGAGACCCACTGCAGTGATCATACCTGCAGAAAGAAAGAAAAAGTTAAATAAATAAATATATTAGTGGCGCGGTGGTTAGAACGCAATATTGCAGGCTAACTCTGCTCACAGCCAGCAGTTCGATCCTCACCAGTTCAAGGTTGACTCAGCCTTCCATCCTTCCGAGGTTGATAAAATGAGAACCCAGATTGTTGGGGGAAATAGGCTAACTCTCTAAACCACTTAGAGAGAACTGTGAAGCACTGTGAAGCGTTATATAAGGCTAAGTGCTAGTGCTATATAAATACAGGCCTAAACAAATAAATGGAGAATGCTTGAGAAGGGTAGTTAAGCCCCAAACTAAAAATCAGGCGGCAACAAAGACCATAAGAACTACTGATTTCAGTCGACTGGTTTTTCCTGGATATAGTTTCAGCAGAAGGATCTCTGGGTTGAAATCTGAACATGATATGAAGACAAGGCTATCCTAGAAGTGCAAATTAGACCTCTTGGTGTGGAGACAGTGTGCATTACACTGTAACAAATGGCACCTAGGGTGTTTTATGAAAAGCAGATATTTAGAACTGGAAAGCAGCAGGGGAAGTAGAAGATTACCCACAGTTCCTTTTTAACTGGCGCCTCCCTCCCACTGCTGCATGGAATTACAAAAAACCTCATTTTTTTAAAGTAAACAACTCATTTCAACCTTCCTCTCAATCAGAAAGTTGCTCTGTCACTTGACACAGCTATTTCTACAAATGACTTACCAAACAAAGTGCAGAACATCCCTCCAAGGATGGGATCAGGGAGGGAGGCAAACAGAGCAGTAAATTTGCCAATGGTTCCTAAAATAAGCATGATTCCTGCACCATACTGTACCACTTTCCTGCTGCCCACCTGTGGAGGAAAAGCAGTAGTACAAATAATCAACCTATATTCATTATGAATTATTTACGGTTTGTCTCACAGTCAGTTAGATGTACAGATTGGACTTGGCATTTTTGTCTGCCCGTCAATTCCTTCCCAAGGGCCCTGGGATAGGCAGATGTGGATGTTTGATGGAGTTACCGATATCATTGGAGGATGTAAGCTGTTCCAAGTAAAACTCCAAGTAAAGTAAATTATTATGGTTTGTGGCACAATCAGCCAGATGTTCAGTATTATAATTATTTGTTCACAACAATATCATTCACAGCTGCCAGTTCTTTAGCTGGTTATTATTATTAATCTGTATATGTTGCTTCTGTTACATTTTCTGCTGTCTCTACTCAACATATGAGTCATGCTTCCAGGTACACACTGAACCTGAAAGGATTTTTTTTATTTAATACCATCTGGCACATACAAGCTTTAATTTTTTTTCAGTAGGATTTCCAGGGCGCTTTCTGAGCAAAATAAGCGCAGCAAAACCATTTGTTTTAGAACAACAATTGTCGCAGCTGCTTTCTCTGGTCAGCCCAAACAGAATGGTGACACATCTCAGAGGAAATTTCCCATTCAAATTACAGGCGGTACACTTGGAGTGAAGCAGTGCAAACAATGGGGGGACATCAGCTTAAAGAGGTTGGTGAGAAATGATGGTCCTTCCAGAGGCCTTACTGATCCCCAGTTAAGGGAATCAAGAAGGTGAGTCTCTGTCTAATCCAAGTCCTGGAGAACTACTAGCAATCTGACTAGATGTTTTTCGGGTTAGCTGAGTAGCCTGATCTGATCCTTAATTTTTAGAAAACAACAATAATGTAATTTAACTTTTGCAAAGGTGGCCACAATTCTGCATACTTAACTGGGCCCATGAGATGAACAACACAGCACCAAAAATGGGCTAGACTACCTTAATGCTGGAGCAAAAACACCTCTCAGGAATCTAGAATGGCATACGGGCAGCTTGTTTACAAAGGACCTCAGAATTCATCCTACGAAATTACCTTGTGATGCCAAGATACAATCTATCTATCCCAGTTGCAGATTTTGCCCAGGTGCTAAAAACTGAAGCCTTGTGCTCCTCCCAGTGCACAAGAAGAAGCAGGCAGCTGTGTGTAAACCCATTAAAAGCCTAGAAACAGAAGATGCTATCAGAACAGTGGAAGGGTGGTACCTTGGTGATGCCCAAGACTCCAATATTCGGGCTGGAGGAAGTAGAACCATTGCCAGTGCCCAGCAACCCAGCAATGATACAACAGATTCCCTCTGTAAAAATGCCTCTGAGGGGCAAGAAAAGAAGAATTCTCAGAGTTGCGTTAGATGTCCCAGCTCTCTCTCCTAGCAATGTTAGGGTGATGCATTTCATTGGATGGATACCCAGCAAATTACATGAAGATCTTGTCAAACGTTTTAAAGGAATAACTTCCAAAAATTAGAATTAGATGAGGGTCACTTGCTAGTTAAGCCAGATAGTGTTCGTCGTAAACAGATGTGGCTGCCTGGTGACTTGGGGTGTTTTGGATTCTCATCACCTGTTCATCCAATTATTCCCTGACCTTGGCAGACAGAAACCATCTGATTAAAAAAAAGAGAGAGAGAGCAAATCCTGCCTTGCCCTACCCAATATGACATTTGTGATACTTCTTCCTGCTGGTCATAGTCCATATGCAGGTAGCAGCCACGTCCTGAACTATTGGAAACATCAGAGGAATCGAGCACACAGAACCATACAGACCTTCTGCCCACCCACAGGCACTCGCAGAGATAATCCCTTCCTAAATCCCTCTGGCCTGATGGCTGAATCTTCCTGGGGTAATATTCCACCTCTGCTTATACCACAAACAATCCATTAGTGTTTCATACACCCACAGGATCCAGCACGATCAGTTCTGAATGTAACTGCACCACACTGTGTGTGCGCGTGCGTACATTAAAAAGACAACAGGAAAAGGGTCCACAAGGTTCACCCTACATTAGGAAAGCTTCAGTGAAATATCCCAGACAATCTGTGAAGCAGACCTGAGAGAGTGTGGTGGAAGTGAGGCTAATGTGCATGTTGTCTATTGAGAAAGATTTTCGAAAGAAACCCATGAGAAACATTTTTAGTCTTAAGTTAGATCTCAAATATTGATCAGCCTCTTTCTTAAGAAGGGAGCAGTGACAGTATTTTGTTTTCAGCAGTGAAACAAATCTGGTCTCTTGAAACTGTTCCGAGGAACAGCCACTTTGACCTACTGGTCTGTGTTGCTGGTTGTGCTCACATGACAATCTTGACCAGGTCAATTGCAAACCTCACAGCTGTATTTGCACAATATTGTGTAAACCCTTTTATTGTAGCCTTGCAGCAAAATGGGGAAATTGTTAGTTTTGATGGCTGACTTAGTAAATCCTCTGAACCCAGCCTCTTCAAATGTTTACAGTTCAGCCAGGGTAGTCTGCATACCAAGAGAACACATTAATGTAGAAACCAAGTGAAGTTGTTCTATAATACAGTACATAAAGCACCCGGAGAAAATGATGGGAGGGAAGCAGCTGTTTTTAAGGAGTTGTGAAGCGATTCTTGTTGCACACATTGATGCTGACTAGATCTGAAGGTTTAATCAGTAAAGTGAGCTAGCAAAGCTGTTCTACCTCATACCAGTTTGTGCATTGTGAATGCCAGAATGAAATATGCAAGGGAAATGGGAACAGATGGGCATTGCAAGAATTAAACTCCCGAAGGTGTCACCCGAAGAGTGATCCAGAGGCAAACATAATGGAAAACCTGTGTCTTAGAATGATGGGGACCCACATGACCCACATTTTTCCCAGTCTAGAAAACCTTAAGACAAGGATCTCCAAAGATATGACAGAATATGACAAAAGGAAGGCCTTGTGGATATGTTAATGAGGCAGTGTGCTTCCATGGTAAAAAAAAATATTCTCAGTCTTCTTAAATGAGTAAAGAAATCAGCATTCGAAGTGCACCAAAAATGGAGATTTTTTTTTAAACGAAGTTTTTCCAATTTCCTTCTTCTGACCTTTGGCATCCCAAAATGAGAAACCATTTTTTTCTAAGAGCCTTTAGTTACTGAAGTATCATCCTCCACAGTTTTTTTAGAAATGTGCTTAAAATATTACCTTTGTTTCACCAGTGAAAAGCAGAACAGACCCTTATAAAAAATATAGACATCTCTGAGCCGGATGCACCCTACCTATTGATGGCATGGACTGGTGGCGGGGGAGCACCTGCAAGTCGGGCGCAGGCATAATAATCTCCGATGGACTCGATGATGCCAGATAATGTAGCACTGAACATTCCCAGCACAGCAGCCGCAGTCACTGTGGGCATCCCCCACTGACCTGGGAAAGCAGACAACACAACAAATATCAGCTGGGCTGTAAAATGTTCCTCTAGGTAGGAGGAGCAAAGGTTGAAGTCCAATAAATAAAAACCAGGAAGCCCAGATTCTTCTCCCTTTGTGTGAGTGTCTCTGTCAATCACACACAAGTTCACACCGGCCCATATGAATTCTCTGACAAATTACCTAAACCTGCCTCCAGAGTGAAGCACAGCATGAAACATTTCCAGAGTACCAAAGGTAACAGTAGAACATCTTGGGGTTCTACCATAAGCGTGTATATGTATGAGTGTGTATGTGTTTGTATACAGACAGACACAGACAGACAGACACAGACACAGACAGACAGACACAGACACAGACAGACAGACAGATAGGCAGGCAGGCAGGCAGACAGAATGAACAAACATCTTGGAGTTCTATCATAAGTGTGTATATATACCATAAGTGTGCATATACTGTATATATAAGTGGTACCACTTATATATACAGTATATGCACACTTATGGTATATATACACACTTACGATAGAACTCCAAGATGTTTGTTCATTCTATCATTCATCTATCTATCTATCTATCTGTCTGTCTGTCTTTCTGTCTGTCTATCTATCTATCTATCTATCTGTCTGTCTGTCTTTCTGTCTATCTATCTATCTATCTATCTATCTATCTATCTATCTATCTATCTATCTATCTATCTATCTATC